AAACGAGTGTATATTATAGACTTAGAGAGAATGAGACACTAAAACAACACTCCAGTTAGAAAAAATAAATAAAAATAATATATATATATATATATATATAAACAGTAAAAAGTGTGCTCAAAAGTCTGTATTCAAACTGTGTTTGGTGATCGACAGTCACTCAGCTGTGGTCATGTATTGTGTATGCGTTTACTGTCTTTGTCCATAACATCGAAGATCCAAACGGGGTTCAAACACAGCTGAGGAGCAGCAACCACGGCCGATCTGCATCGAGCTGATCAGGGCGATCCAAAGGGTCACAGCACCAGTGTAACGATTGTTGTCCCCAATGTGGCCTTAACACATCCGTCACAAACTTTAAATGGATGACGCACACAAGACTCTGGTTTTCTGTTCTTTCTTTTATTCTCCGCAGCAATGATAATCGTGTCTGAGGAATACATCAAAATGTATTATTACACAGGATGAAAACACTGCAGACATAAACCACCGCAGCAGTGTCAGCCACTTTCTGCTGAACTCCATACAACTTGTAACAATTCCATGTTAACAAAATAACGAAAATAAACATGAAAATCACATACCTGAGGAATACATCAAAATGTATTATTACACAGGGTGAAAACACTGCAGACATAAACCACTGAAATAAGAAAAACATGAAATAAACAAACTCATTCTCATTAAGGGTAACTGTGTGTTTTCCATTTAGCCATCTGCTGCATCAGCAGCAGCATGTTAATTTCACCGCATGAGACACGAGGCACAACGATAAGTACTCAACAAAATTTCCATCGGACATATAAACCCATCCAACTCGCTGTACATTTGTTGATATAATCACTACAAACGTTTACATGTGAAAAACTCATATTAAACACACTTATATCACTTTTTAAACAGGAGAGAAGAGGAACACGCTTGCCCGCAGCAGTGTCAGTCATTTTCTGCTGAACTACGGTAGGCGCGCAAGGACAAAATAATGAATGTCTGCAACGCATTAACCACCAGGGGGCACCAAAACACTGTTTCATTTAATTTACCCTCTAATTTCATGTAATTCAACACCATGAATAACATTAGAATTAATGTTCTTTTTAATTCTGTTACACTTAAACAGAGGGTAACCAATTCTTCTCTGCCGAAACAGAGGGTAACAAATATTAACACGTAATGTTAATCTTCCCTGCCTTAACAGAGGATAACCAATTCTTCCCTGCCGAAACAGAGGATAACATTTATCTCTAAGATAAATTTTTTTTAGAGGATAACTTAGTTAACCAAACCCTACAGCTGTCTGTTAACTCTTCTCTGACGGTGCAGAGGATAACAAATTTGTACTGGTCTTAAAGGTTCTTTTGGATATGGCGCTGCAGTCATCAAAAGTCTGACTAAGGCAGAGATACATTGTAGTTTATATACATTTTAAGGGGGAGGGATACATTCAGTAGAGGTGGAGACAATCTAACCCATAGCATGCAAATGATTACTTGCGTTTGTGATGAAAACAAAAGCTTCCTTGTTGGCTGCTTGAGGGAATCCCGGAGCTTTCGGATTGGTTGCTGAGATGACGTTTGGATGACGTCCTTTTGGGGAAGCCCTCGGTGGTGATTGGTTGGTTGCCTGGTGACGCAGAGGCTTCGGCAGTTCTTCTGAGAGGGTTTAAGTTTGCAAGACTTTAGGCTTTTGAAGATCTCTGGCAATCACGAAGTTTCAACTGAAGTGTTTGAAATCTGGAGTCTCGCTTGTGCGATGTTACGGCATGGGAGCACTTGTAGCGCGGTCACCAAGGCGCAAAGCCAAAGGTCTAGAGAGGGAGAGAGCGAGCGAGCGAGAGAGCGAGATTTGTGTCCCTTTTTAAGCAGGCTGACTTTTGGTCCGCCCCCCGACACGATCTTCCAATCGGATGCTGTTACAAGGCGGAGCGTGCATACATTAACCTGATGCTTCAATTTATCATGTGGGGAAATATTTCTGCGAAGAGTTGGTTAATACTTCTATAAAGTGTCGTACAACACACACTGTTCAAAATAACAGCTTGTCGCTCATTTCAATGCTTTGCAATTATCACCAGTTTTCATTCAACACTAAACTTCCCATATCTTACACACATATTAAATGCTTTATCTGCTAAAAGGAAAAGTTATAAGGCAAAGATTAAAATATCATAGTTTCAATAAAACATTGCACAGAAAGTATATTATTTGGGAGTATATTGCTCCGATACTTTAAATGATTTTAAATGATTGTCTTTTACGATCAGTCCTGATACAAAAGAGCTCTGTGTTATCTCCTGATTGGATTAGTTTGTCATCTCATGATGAGTTGCTTCAGTGGCATATCAGTGTCCGTTCATGATAGAAATCCCTACACCCTTAAGGGGAAGCTTTTTGCCTCCTGGTGTAGGCAATGCAATTTGGACCCAGTCCATTGCCCTGTAGGTCGATAGTGAGTTTCTTCTGAGTCGTTTTTTTAAGGGGGTGGCCCCTGCCACTCTTAAGATTATGTAGCAGCCATATCTGCTAAGCATGTTCCGTGAGGTGTTTCAGTTGGTCGCCACCCTCTGGTTTCCCGTTTCATGCAGGGGTCGAGACGGCTTAGGCCTTTCCGCCCGGCATGGATTCCATCGTGGGACTTACATATCATTTTGGAAGGCCTGGCAGGCCATCCATTTGAGCTGTTTAAGTCTGTGTCAGATAACTTTGACCTTTAAGATGGTTCTTTTGGTGGCCCTATTCTCTCTTAAGAGAATTGGGGATCTGCAGGCGCTTTCTATAAGCCGTTCTTGTATGGACTTTGCCCCGGGGCTGGTTAAAGTCTTACTGTGACCTAGGCCTGAGTACGTTCCTAGGTTGCTTCGACTCCGTTTCACTTTCAGCAAGTGGTTGGAGGCTTTCTCCCCTGCTGATTGCTGGGTCAGATAGTGATGTGCAACTTCTGAGTCTTGCCTGGTGAGGGTGTTGAAGATCTATGCAGACCACACACCCCAGTGGTGTGGATCTGACAAGTTATTTGTATGTTTGCTGATAAAAACAAAGGAGCTGCCGTCACTAAACAGAGAATAAAGTCTCATTGGATAGTGGAGGCTATCTCTTGGCTTATGAGGTGCGTGGTTTGACTTCGCCTCTAGGGGTGCGTGCTCATTCACGAGAGCAATGGCTTCTTCTCAGGCTCTTTTTAAAGGGTCTTTGTTGGAAGATGGGATGGGATGGTCCTCTCCCAGCACTTCGTTAAGTTATACAGTCTGGCCGTATGGTTGACTCCTGGCTCTCGGGTCTTATCCACTTGAGCAGACGCTTTCCTCCGTCTTCAAGCTATCTTCAGGTATGTGAAGGCATTATGGTATAGTGTTCCCATAGCGACCACTGTCGCAGCATTGAAGTGAACCTATGAAAGGGAACGTCTCGGTTACGTATGTAACCTTGGTTCCCTGAATAGGGAACGAGATGCTGCGAAGCCGGCCGTTCCCGTACCTTCGATAGCGCTTCCTTCGTCATGTGGAAATCTGATGAAATAGCGTGCAGCACGCTGATATGGCATATGTGACGTATGTGCGGGGCGGTGCTAAGTGCTATTGGTCAATGAATTGGCGTGATGGTATAAGGGCTTCAGACATTCGTCACACCTGAGGTGTTCTCATAGCGACCGCTGTCGCAGCATCTATTTCCCTATTCAGGGAACCAAGGTTACATACGTAACTGAGACGTTTGTGGCACATGGCAAACAAAGTAAACATTATATGACAAGTAAAGGTAAGTTTAAAGGACAAGTAAAGTTATTTATTTGAAGGTTTGTGAACAATTTGAAGATTTTGAACAATTGAACAATTTTGAACATGTTTAACATGGGGAAGTCGTGGCCTAATGGTTAGAGAGTTGGACTCGTAACCCAAAGGTTGCGGGTTCGAGTCTCGTACCGGCAGGGATTGTAGGTGGGGGGAGTGAATGTACAGCCCACCTTCAATACCACGACTGAGGTGCCCTTGAGCAAGGCACCGAGCCCCCAACTGCCGCAGCAAAAAATGGCTGCCCACTGCTCCGGGTGTGTGTTCACGGTGTATGTGTGTTGACTGCTGTGTGTGTGCACTTTGGATGGGATAAATGCAGAGCACTAATTCTGAGTATGGGTCACCACACTCACATGTCACGTCACATTATGTAGCCCTATTCTTGGAAAAAAGCTGGCAGCAGAAATCACACAACAAAACAAAATGTTATCATTTCATATTAAGTAAACGAGTAAACAATTGAATAATGCAATTGAAAACAAGGTAATTGATATGACAACTAAAAACAACTAATAATAAAATTAATGCCGCAATTTCATTTTCATTTTTAGTTGTCGTCAATACGTCAGTTTTGTATGTTTAAATGCTGAAATACGTAAGTATTTGTACGTTTAGATGCTGAAAATACATCAGTATTGTGCGTTTTAGTGCCTGTAAAACCATAAGTAAATGTATGTTTTATAGAACCACATTTTACGTAAAATACATACAAATTATCATGAGATCATGTTGGCATTTTTTATTATTTTATAATGTTCTCTGAGGTCAAATTAGTTTAAATTGATATTACATTTTGACATCATAATTTGGAAATAAATGAACATTGTCCTGTTTTTGACTCTCTTTTAAAAAGGGCATGTTTTTTTACGACTACAATGTAAACATCTACTGCTATGTTTGGGTTAAATCTCTGCATATGAAATAAGTATTTTGCATGTGGAACTGTTGAAACACAAGTATGATTGCAGTTTCTGTCATTAACTAATCATGGAAAGTGTGGATTACAGTGTTATGTTACATCTACTCCATAAAAGGTTCCTTTCAACAAAGTGTTTTTACAGCAAGCATTGTAGCCAGTGTTGAACACATGAATGAAATGGCCAGAGTTTTGTTCAGCATGAGCTCACATATTTTCATGAATGCTCTCATCATAACCAATGGAGTGACACAACATAAACATGAGAGTCATAATGCAGTGTAGATAGTTTCTGTTCTGTCCTCTGCATGCATGTGTGTTGAGCATGCATATACAGATAGCCAAACATTGCAAGGAGATGACTGATCAGCTTCAATGACCACTCAGATGATTGAATACATTTTCTCTTTACTTTTGCTTGAGTGCAATCATGTAGTTCAATCTCCGTTACATTCTTTTGTGAAACTGCAAAATAAATACAATAAATGCTTACTTAAAAAGAAACAAACAAAATACAGTAACTCGTTATACAATGTTTACGTTTACATTGGTAAACTGCAGTAACGTTAATTACACCGATCTTTTGAATGTGAATACAAAGCATATGAAAAGCTAGCATGCTTCCAACATATATAACTCTTAATAAAATACAAACACCAAATATAAAAAATAATGAATATAAACGATAGACTTACAAGCAAAACTTCTTTAGGGGTTTTACACAACAGATTGGAAGAAGATGAAAGAAACACGCAATCTCTCTGCTGCGAAATGGCCGCTGTGCTTCGCGTGTTCCCCCGATATGAAGTATAACAAATAAAGTTTTGTCAAACTGGATTTTAACTCAACCTATGTCAAACAGCGCCCTCCAGTGAGGAGGAAGAAGTAATGTTAGACATGGCATAATACTCCCCATCTGGTATTAAGTATAATACCACTCTTAATTTCTCAACTAGTGAATATATGTTCACTGGGTAATTTAAGACATAAGCAAGATAACCTCTGTAATAGGTCGTAAGAAGGTTTTAGCAGTACCACTCTTAGTGAGTTTCAGTTCCAGTTTTCTGGCTTTGCCATCTGAGTCTGCGATAGCTTTGGTGACCAGAGCCATTGGCCATTCGTTCCTTTTTACCTGATCGTCTTTCAGAAGGACCAGGTCTCTTTCTTTGATATTAGATTTGTTGTCTTGCCATTTCTTACGAGGCTGAAGGGATGCAAGGTATTCTCATCTCCACCTTTCCCAAAACAGGCTGGCAAGATACTGCACTCTTTTCCATTGTTTTGAGCGTTCTCAAACGGCCCTGTAGGTGCGGATGAGGTACACACCTTTTGGGAGAGGATCATTGCTGGGGTGAGGAGAAGAGGTGACTCGGGGTCGGTAGAAATGTATACAAGAGGTCTTGCGTTGATAATAGCACATATTTCAGCCATTAGAGTTGACAGCATTTCATGAGTCAGATGCGAGGAGCTGATTTGAGGAAGCATGGAGTCCAAAATCCGTCTTGAAAGTCCGATCATTCTCTCCCATGCTCCCCCCATGTGAGACGAATGAGGTGGGTTAAAGATCCATTTGCAACCTTCATCACTAAGGTATTTTGTCACACTGGGATCTTCGGAAGAGACCACAAGCATGTTCAGCTCTCTGCATGCTCCTGTGAAATTAGTACCGCAGTCAGATCGTATAATCTTTGCCGGGCCTCGAATGGCAAAGAACCGGCGAAGTGCATTAATGAAGCTTGATGTGTCCATTGACTCTATCAGTTCGATATGGATGGCTCGCACTGATAAACATGTGAAAATTACCGCCCATCTTTTGCTGTAAGCATGGCCTCCACGGGTACGGCGTGCTGATACATTCCAACGGCCGAACACATCTAAACCGACATTAGTAAAGGGTGGCTCCATGCTGATGCGGTCAGGAGGGAGGTCTGCCATTTTCTGTTCAGCTGTTTTACCTCTCTGTTTGCAGCAAGTGATGCACTTGCGAAGGATGCCACTGATGCATCTCTTTGCTCCAACTATCCAGAATCCTCCAGCACGGATTGCTCCTTCTGTAAAGACTCGGCCTTGATGATTTACTTTGTCGTGGTAATGATTTGTTAGGAGGGTTGCTATGTAACTATGACCGGGTATAACAAGAGGGTGTTTTTCATTGCTGAGGAGTGTGGACTGTTCGAGTCTGCCTCCAATTCTTAAGAGTCCGTCCTGCAGGACCGGGTCCAGCCTCTTAAGGGAACTCTGCTTGGGAATGGCCTTTTCATTCTCCAGATAAACAATTTCTGCTTTATAAGCCTCCCTCTGTACACATTTGATGATGACACTTTCAGCTTGAGTCAGTAACTCAGGTGTGTATGGTGCCAGCCGCAACATGATCTTTCTTTGTTTTTGAAAGACTGAGCAATGTGAATGTGTAGTTATGGCTCTTCTTAAGGATTTCCAAGATGAAAACCTTTTGAAGCGGTGAGAACCAAGACCAGAATCAGGGTTTAAACAGGTAGTGGCATGTGCTCGCACTTCTATGTCTGTATCTTGATCGATAAGATTACAGGGAGCTTCTTTCACAGGGATGGATGCTGGATGTTGCAGAAATGACGGACCAGTGAGCCAGTTTGTTTCAATTAGACGGCATGCAGCGACTGGTCTAGTAGCAACATCAGCAGGGTTTTGTGAGGTTGGAATGTACCGCCACTGCTCTGGGTGAGTGAATTCTCTGATTCTTTGCACTCTGTTGCTGACATACACGTAAAATCGTCGGGTCTCATTGCAGATGTACCCCAAAACAACTTTGCTGTCCGTGTAGAACAGTAGGGTGTCAGGGTTGATGTCTAGTTCTTGGACAATTTGTTCTGCTATTTCGACTGCAAGGACTGCCGCACACAGTTCAAGTCTGGGAACTGCATGTACTGTCTGTGGGGCTAGCTTTACCTTTCCCATAATGAACCCGACATGACACATTCCATCACTATCTGTTACTTTCAAGTATGCGACTGTGGATATGTTCTGAACAGATGCATCCGAAAAGACATGAATCTCCTTTCTTACTGAATGAGAAATGGACATTGGAGTGTAGGTTTGGTGAATTCTGAGCTGCTGTAAGTCTTGCAATGAGTCTTTCCACAGGTTCCATTCTACTTCCTTTTCGGTTGCAAGGGGGGCATCCCAGTCTGACTTTGTGTTTGAAAGTCCACGGAGTAGCAGTTTTCCTTGGATGGTAATTGGCGCAACCATGCCGAGAGGGTCAAACAAACTGTTTACAGTCGCCAGGACTCTGCGCGTGAATGGTTTGTCACTGAGGTTGACATGGAATGTGAATGCATCGTTATGGAGATCCCAACTCAAGCCGAGACTGCACTGCAAAGGGGGTGAATCAGTGTCTAGATTCAGATGTTTCAAGTCTTTAGCATAGTCGGCCGGAGAGAATGCATGCATTACAGCTGAGCAGTTGGATGCTATTTTATGGAGTCTTAGGTTAGAGATAGCGAGCATATCTTTGGTAGCCTTAAGCAAGCTTATTGCTTCATTGATGGAGGGAAGTGACTTAAGTCTATCGTCAACGTAAAAGTCTCTTTCGATGAAATGTCTCACATCTGCACCAAACTCCGCTTCATTGAATAAGGCAGCACGTCTGAGGCCGTAAATGGCAACGGCTGGAGAGGGGCTGTTGCCGAAGACGTGGACTTTCATACGATATTCTACCATGCTTTCAGACATATCATTGTTCTTGAACCACAGAAAGCAGAGAAAGTTCCTATGATCTTCCCTGACAATGAAACTGTGGAACATTTGCTCTATGTCCGCAGTGATGGCTATTGGCTCGTGTCTAAATCGTAGAAGGACTCCTACTAGACTGTTGTTTAGATCGGGGCCCGTTAGCAGCACATCGTTCAAAGACACACCATGGAACTGGGCACTGGAGTCGAACACTACGCGAATTTGACCAGGCTTGCGTGGGTGATACACACCGAAGGAGGGTAAGTACCAGCACTCCTCCCCTGGGTTCACAGGAGGAGCTGGCTCAGCATGGTTGTTATCAAAGATCCTCTGCATAAACTCCACGAAATTCTCTCTCATCTCGGATTTCTTACATAGAGTGCGACAGAGAATTGAAACGACTCAGAGCTTGCTCTCTGTTGTTTGGAAGGCGTTGTCTGGGTGAACGAAAGGGGAGGGGTGCTACCCAGCTATTAGTGTCATCCATGAACATTTCTTTGTCCATTACCTGAACGAACTGCCTATCCTCAACTGAGGGGGCTATCTTTTCATCATCTTTCGTTCTTTCGAAGATTGAGGCGGCTGATGGGCTGGGAGCAAGCTGAGAAAACAGAGAGGGTTTAACACTTGGATGTGCAGTTAATTTCTCCTTGAGGTAGAGCTTATTGGGACATGGGCTAAAGCAGGATGGACGCCCATCTTCTAGAATGTTTGTGCGGTAAACACTCACAGTTGAGGGCTTGTGAGCAGCACCAAGACAGACCTCGCCGACCACAACCCAGCCTAGGTCCACTCTTTGAGCATAGGGAGCATTTTGTGGCCCATTGCGTTGCTCTCTTACCTTATGGACTTGAAGGATATCACGTCCGAGAAGGAGAAGTATTTGAGCATTTGGATCTAGAGGAGGGAATAGATTTTAGATGAGGGTGGTGTTTTGCTGCTTCGGGAGTGGGTAACTCCGACCTGTCCTCGGGCATGCAGTTGCACTCAATGAGCGTAGGGAGTAGGACTGACAGACTGCCATCTAGAGCGTGTGCAATGAAGTACCTAGCTCGCCTCCCAGACATTTCCGTGACTCCAGCGCACGTGCGCAGGGTGTAG